AATATTTAGCTAATTAGAATAGATCTTAAGTGCTCTTACAACACATACACACACACACAGTAACTGTGATAACTATGTGGATGTGTTAATTAGCTTGATTGGCAATCATTTCACAGTGTATAGGTCTATCAAGTTATCATATTGTACACCTTAATTATATACAATTTAATTTGCAAGCTATACCTCAATTAAGCTGAAAAATAAAAATTAAAAGTTATAGACAGAATTGCTAAAACTTAGCAAATTTTTCCCTCTATGGGTCAGGTTTCTTGGGGTGAATCCTACAGGTAAGGCTGACGTGGTGAGTATAGTTAAGGGATCCCTAGTTAGAAAACACAAACAACTCGGTTCCTTCTAATGTAAACCATTAATGTGGATCCTGCAATATATTCCTGGATGTTCTATAGAGCTCTTTGGAAATAACCAGGATCCCCTATGCCCACATTCTTGTATGACTTCTGGTGTCACATCCTGGCTTTATTTCCTGCTTCACCTGGATATTCTATATGCTGGCTGTGTCTAAAAACTATTGCTTTTGGAAGACACCACACTATCATTGAGAGAGATCAAGGTGAATTACCAAATGAGATAGCTTTCACCTCTCTTGCTACTCAGAAGGTTGACCTTGTTCATAGCTGGAGGGAAAGGAGAAAGTATGAAGGGGGCAGAGAATAAGTTCCTTGTCTTCTAGGACAACACAAAGTCTTATGTCAATTTGAAGATGGCACAGATTGCAAAGCCAGGGCCTTTCAGACATTGAGAAAGGTCCGGTTAAGTTTTTATTGCATATTTTTAAAAAGAAAAAATTAACAATAGTTTGAAAATAATGTTATATTTAAGTATTTAGTCCTTTCACTGTGTCTTTAAGACCACATAAAAAACCTCTTATGTGGAGATACCATGTAAAGAATAAATTTAAATATTTCATGACAACATAATTTTTAAAAAATTTTTATAAAGTACCCCCCTGAAAGTTTCTGTGGTCAAAAAAGTTTGGGAAATACTGCATTTTGTTAGAGTCATCTTGAATATTGACAGTGCATGTTGGCATAGCAAAGGCTTCTAGAAGTCCCACAAGATAGAAGTGTGTTTAACTTTGCTTACATTGTTTCTCAAATCTACTGAATCACATCATCTTTTTCAAATAAAAGAAAAGTGAATCACAGCACACTTGAAGAAGTGTTGCTCTCTGATCCAGAGGTCAGTGTCCAAACTCTTTCTTTTTCAATCTTTTCCCCCCATGTGGGACAACTCTAGACCTCAAGCTGCATCTCCCCACCTCTTTTCCAGGCTGCCCCACCTCAACTCTGAAACACAGCCTAGAATTTGGCAGGAAAGGATTGGTTTCTGGGATATTGTCAGTCGATGTAGCACATCAACTCATCTGAAGAGAATCCATGTACAGCTAAGAGAATAGACAGCTCAGTTCCATTCCAGTTGGTCTTCAGTCTCCACACACCAGCCAAAGTTTTTCAACTAAGGAGGTCTCCTTATTACTATGTGTGTGTGTGTGTTTCCTCAAGTGTACATCTTACCATTAGAAACTCAGCCCTGGCTGAGGCACCAATTAATTTTGCATAAGCTGCCACAGCACCATTAGATGCTAATCTGTTCATTCATAACCACAAGGTATTGTGTTAGGGTCATGTACATGCCTTGCGCCTCCAGCCCTGTGGATTTAGTTAGTGCTTAGCCTCTAGTTCCTGCAGCTGTGTCCTTTCAATGACTGCTTTATGGTGGCCAAGAGAGTTGAGGTTGGCTGCCAGGACTCTGAGATCTGGAGGAACACATGGACACATTATTCTTTTCCTCCAAAGCGATCCAATTCCTGTTTCAGGCAGATGGGGAGATAGTGGGAGGATAGCTCTGAAGCAGCCCAACATTTAATGCTAATGATGTTACTCAATGCGTGATATTATGGCAATGGAGTAGACAAATCTATCCATACTGTGTTCTTCAGTGGAAGGTTAATTATGAAGGTATCGTATTACAAAACATAATTCTGAATGTAGCTCCTGGATTCATTTGTAAGAACTATTATGGATCTGTAATTTTCTTCACAGTAAGACTACACATTGGATGCAGTCTGCTTCAAACAAGAGGCCAGGAAAGGGCTCACTATGCTAATTGAATACTAAGGAGGTGTTTGCTTATGTTGCTTTGTATTCTAATTATTTGCAACTATACTTCCGATGTATTTATGTAGAGGGGAAAAATACTCAAAGGTAGCAAAATTCTTACTTAGCCTGAATATTTATTTGGAAGAAAAGTATCTTCCCTCTTTTGCTTTTGTACTTGTAACATTTGTAAAGGGTTTTGTTCAACACTGAGGAAAAGCAAAATATCATCATCATTATTACTGGCCTTTGTCCACAGTGGATTTCATCCAGATTCTAACCAGTGACTCTGTGACTAACAATATGAGTCACTAAGTTTCATATGTTTATGTATTTCAACACATTTCCCAGGCTGAGAGCTTTTTTTCATGTTTCAGGACTCAGAAAAAAAGAAATGTCCTTCTGTATCTCAAGTAGAGTGTCACTATGTGATTGGCTCTGAGCAACTTGTGCATAGATTGAATTGCTCTTTTAATAGATTAGTATTGGCAAAAGTTAAAAAAAAACCACCAAAAGGAAAAGATTAGTATATACTTTCTGCACAAAAGTCTGTAGCCTGGTGAAGTTGGGTAAGTATACTTCTGTGTTTTCACCATGGTAGAGCCACAAAGTAAGTACAGAATTTAAAATGCAGAGAGCCTACAACTAAAAGGTGATAAAGAGAATGGCAGAAAAATGCAAGTATATTTACTGGTTATTAACTTTGCAAAGATGTAACTCTTTATTCTGAGTGTTTCTTTGAAGGAATATTAGAAAATGGATAGTCTGAGTTAAAATATTTTTTTTGTGGAAAATCCATTATTTCAATTATTTTCTCATTTTATTGTATCCATTCTCATGCCAGCCCCAACTCACCCCCAGGAACTGTTCCTGATTGGTCACCCCTGCCATTCAATTACCCTGCCATTTTCATATCAAATGACTTTGTCAATATTTGGTCATACATTTTCACAGCATCTCAAATGAATCGCAGCTTTCAGTTTTATAGGAAGTTTCAAAGGATTCCCTTGCATGTAATCGCATGTTAATCTCATCGTCATATTGCAGTAGAGCAGAAATGTACTGCCCCCTCTTACAGATGAGAAAATGGAGGCATATTACATTGATGTAATTGGCTTGGCCTCATTGGCTAAGATCATATCAATTGTTTCTAAAAAAATCAGAATTCTATTCCAATGCTATTCCACTAGACATGTAACAGAGATTTGAGATTTAAAAAGAATTCTTGCTTCTAAATCCTCATAATCCAAGATTAAGAATAAACCTGGACAGATGAGTTGTTATTCTTGGATATTGGTTCTTGAAAATACTATATGTGATAGCACATATTATATTACATGCATGTTGTCCAAAGTACCACAATGTAATTAGTCCACACAAAAATGTATTCAAATATAAAAACATAATCAATTTGATTTTTAAAAAGAATTTATTCATCACTGTGGGTCTTCATAGGAAGTCCTATATGGGGCTGTATAGGATGTTCTTGAACGTGCATTTACCAGGTTCCTGTTGTCATTCAAGCATGTTGTTTTCTTCACTGTGAACCTATTGGGTTTTATGTTTAAATTAATGGCCTTTCTAAGGAGATTTATCTTCCCGTTCTCTTACATCTTCCACATTGCCTGGGCTGGGCACACAGTAGTTACTTTTTGATTTTCGTATAGCAGCAATAGATATAACTTATTTTGAAGTTCCTTGCCCCTAATCTGACCCATGCACCCACATGGAACCTCTTGTAGGTAAGTTTAGTTTTGCAGCAGCAAGACGGTAAAGTGAGACACCTTCAACAGGGTTGGTGAACCACGGGCCTGATACTCATCTGACTCCCCTAGGTATGCGAATTTCTGAATCCCACTGTGCTGCTTCTGCACACAACCTGCTGTGGCCATGGAGGTGGCCAGTGAAGCTGCATTAACCAGCTTCCCTACAGGGTCCTGTGAACCCCAAAGTCTGATCATCACCACTATAGCACTTTTTAGTTCCTGGAAGTTTTAATGACAGTGTTTGTGAGGATGCTTCCTGGGCTAGGTTTTTGACCATGAAAATAGAAGATGGTCCTTCACCTTTGGGAAAAGGGGTGAGAGGCAGCCTATAAAACTGGCCCCAAACATAGTCCTCTGACAAGCGCTGAAGGAAAATGTTTGCCTGTGCGCTAGGAAACAATCACCCCAGTTTCCAGCAGCCAGTGGGCAAGCGTGAAGCGTGATCTGGACGATCTACGGAGCTTTCTTCCTTCCACTGCGCCGGCATTTAGGCGAGGCAAACAGCGAACGGAGCTGAACACGGCCACATCTGCGTGACTAATACTCACCTAACACAAAGCGACATTAACTGGTGGATAACTATTCTCCCCTCAAGTCAGGCAAAATCAGCCCTCCTGTCCCTGCAATGTTTTAGAACAAGAGGGTGAACAAAATGGCCTTTAGGAGAGCCCTGGGTCAGAGAAGTGTGTTCAGCTCAGGGCTTTAAATGCACAGCAGGGCTGGACAAACAACGGGGACATTGGTTAGGGTTTGAATTAACGCAAGATTCATAGAAGAAAGCTTTCAAATCTGAGGAGAGCGATTGCTGAAAGTTGCAACTTGAAGCAATTAAAATCTGACCACATCCTCTTACCCAAGCCGTTAAGGTCGATGATTTGTGAAAATCTCTTTTTGCCCCCAGCATGAGGTTAAGGAAAGGCCCCATCTCAAAATCCAGATCCTGCAACCGCGGGCGTGGTCCGAGGTAAAAGCAATCATATGGCTCTTCCCAACTCCTGGCTTAGGGGTTCTAGGATTTAAAAATACGACGGGATCGTTTCGTCTGCAGCCGTCCTTGGAGGACATGCTGTGTCGCTCGCTCTTTTACGGATTTATTGCGGATAAAGAGCGCGAGAAAATGAGCAGGAGTGACTCAACCACTTGGGTAGCCTGAAGCTGGCAGGACGGCCCTGGAGGCAGGGCACGCGGAACGCCCCCTCCTGCAACGTCGGAGGGCGGGCCGCCGGCACCCTGTGCCCCGCCGGGAGCGGACTGCGGGCGGAGGGCGAGGGAGCGGCCCGGGCGCCACGGGCTGCGCGCAGGTGGAGCGGGCGCTGCGCGGCAGCTGCGCCCCGAGGACCCGCCGGGAGGGGCCGCCCAGGCGCTAGGGCTTCCCGGCCTTCTGACCCCGGGCGGGGCGGCCTTGTCCCCAGCCCCTGCCCCCCCACCCCACCCCCCGGCCTCCGAGCTCCAGCTCCTGCCTGCGCTCTTCCCTCCTTCCCGCCTTCCGCGGGAGAAACTTGGCCGGGAGCAGCGAGGAGGCGCCAGACTCCGGGCGAGGCGTGGTGGTAACGACAAACTCCCCCGGCGGCCGCGTCGCGCGCTCCCCGCTCCGTCCCCTCCCGCCCCTCCAGGCTCCCTCCTTTTAGACAAAATGCCGAAAGGCGGGCGGGGGCCAGCGCGCCTCTGCCCTATCCGGCCCTCCGGGCGTGGCTCGCCCCCTGCCTGCCTCCCCGCTCCCCCTTCCCCGTCCCCAGTCTGACCCAGCACCTCACACCCTTGGCGCTGGGTTCTCCATGTACCCCCGCACCCCCCGCCAGGAATCCGCTAGTCTAGCATTGCGCCTGTGGAGTGCCGGGTCCCCACTCCTGCCGGGCCCCGGGAGTCATCTCGCGGAGTTGGGCGGGCCTGTGACAACCTCCACGTGCTACTCTCTGGGGCCCCCTTCCTTTTGTGCTTCCTCCGGACCCCGCCAGCGCGGGAGTCCTGTGTTGTTTTCCAAACTGCTACTGAGGATTCTCGTAGGGCAGCTAGGAAGTGAAGTAGCTCAAGCGGATGGAGTTTGAGCTTTGCGACCTGGGCTGGGACTTTAGGGTGCCCGCACGAGCTCGAGACAAGCTAGTAACTCTCGAGACACAGCACCCTGGACCCTTTGAGCGAATTGGAGAGGCTGTATGTAAAACACCCAGCAGTGTCCGGAGGGAGGGTGTGGGTGATGGCTTCCCAGACCAGAACCTCGTCATCCCAGGCAATCAGAGGAGCCATCCAGGGGGTACCCATCTCTCTCTCCTGGAATCAGTCCAGTCTCGTACTGTGGCCTCTATCGAGAATAGTTTCTACAAAAGGTGGTGGTTATTACTGGGTCAAGTTTAATGTAAAACGGTGCTGAGGGGAGTGGCCAGCCTAACTTGCTGTATTAGGAATCTTTTTTCAGAGATCGGTGTAATTCATGGATAATCTGTGATCATGTGAGGTCTGTCACAGTAATGGCGTTGGGGAAGGAATCACACCAAACTCAAAAGAAACTTCAGGTTGAAATGTGTCGCTCAGCTCTGAATTTAGGAGCAGGACCATTCCTCCTTAAGGATGAGGAGTTCATTTGTTCATTGCACACATGTTGACTGTACTGCTCGGTTCCAAGCATTTGACTCTGGGGATACAGCAGAAAACAAACCAAGCCCTGTCTTCATGGAGTTTACATTCTAGAGAAGGAACCTAGGCAAGCAGTTGGAAAGCAAATAAATAAAGGAGATAATTTCAGAGTGAAATATGAATGAAAACAAAGAGGGTAACAGGCAAAGATTGGAGGAGGGCTGGGAGCTGCTTTGCTCAACTTGTCAGGATGGTCTTTTTGTGGTGGCATTTGAGACGTAATCTGACAGCTAAGCAGGGCATAGCCATGGGAGGACTCAGAAGGAGGATATTCCAAGAGAGTACATATCAAGTTCAAAGAAATCATTATATCCTGAGAAGAAATCATTACACTTAATTACTTAATTTATGCTTTAAAAAAATCTTTTTGATTGCCATGGAGAAGGAGATGGAGAGGGAGATGGAAATGTAGAAAAGGAAGTAAGCTCAATTCACTGAGCCAGTAGTGCCTCTAGGGCTTCCAGGTCTGGATGTTCTATAGGCAACTTGAAATTCATATTTGGAATTCAGGAGAGTGATTGTATAGATTTGGAAGTCATCAGCAAACCAAAAAATATCTGCTCCTTGAGAATAATAGGGATGGCCAGTGAAAATGGAAAAAAAAATTTCAACTACTGATAAGGGGAGGAACCTAGAAAGCCCCAGATGTTCCTGGGAGAAGCTCCATTAAGAGACCAAGAATGAGTAGCAGAGTAGGAAAGATCAGGCAGGGTGGTGGGTGCCTGGGAGCAGAATATTTTTGGAGGGGAAGAGAGGGCTAAGAGGTCATCATGAGCGTCAGATGCTGCAGAAAAAACAAGTAAGATAAAAATAGAAAAGAGGCCATTGTATTTAACAATTACAAAGATTCATAGGAGAATCCCATCAGTAGAATAGTTAAAACACATTTAATAGTTAAAGTACTGTTTAATAATAGTCTTAAAAAGGAATCAGGCAACTCTGTATGACCAATAGGATAGATAGGTTGTTGAAGTCTAAAAAGCGAACAATGGAACAGAGTAAATAGCCCAATTGATTAGTGCTAAAGGAAGCCCTGTCAAAAGCATGGTAATTTTGTGAAAGATAGAGAGGGTATGAGAGAGCCCACAAGGTTGGGAATAATCAGTGTAAAATGGAGACAGTCCCTGCATTTATGTCATTGACTCCAGTAGAACTTGGGGTAATCAGAGTAACTTCAAGCTGGTTACAGGCAGGCAAGGCAAATTCAGAGTGACATTGAGGTGCTTGTGGAAGCCCATGGCATCTAGGGTAAAAAGGAGTAGGAAAGCTCAGCAGGGTATGTATATTAGGAAAACAGAATCCTTAAGCATGGGTTGCAAAAAATCAAAGGGAAGTTTTAGTCCTTAGGCGGAAAAAGGGGACAGGTAATGAAAGTAAGCATTTATTGAGCACTTGCTATGTGATTTTCCTGTGTTATCACTTATCTTCCTAAATCTGTGAAGTATGTATATTACAAGCCCCATTTTACAGAGGAGGGAACTAAGGTACTGAGAAATCAGGTAAATCACAAAGGTCACCTAAGTAACGAATAGCAGAAGCAGGATTTGAAGCCAGCTTTCAATCACTTTGCTTAGGAACCGATGAATACAGGGAAGAATTTCCCAGGTGGGCCACTCTAAGTGTTGGGTGTGGCCAATATAGAATAAAGGTGAAGTAGTTTGGGTTAAGGCACATGAAGTTGCTACAAGATGAAGAAGCTAGTAGGGTCCTTACCATAGGTGTTGGAGCTGTGCAGAAATGAGGTGGAGAAGAAAATTCTGAGTTGGTAGAAACTTGGTGACAAACATGTCAAGGGGCATAGAATGAGATGACTTAAGCATCAAATGAGAAATATAGTTTATGCAAGAGAAGGGAATGTTAAGAGATTTAAGATGGCTCTTGCCTACAGATGGCTTTCAGTTGAATTAGGGAGGTAGGACATTAGTAGACTATCAAGAATACATGGTAGGAAATGCTATCTGAGTTCAGAAACTTTGCTCAGGGTTGACCGGTGACTTGATCTGGAGCTGGTAAGGCTACCAGCCCCTGGCTGGTGCATCTTTGTTATGCCTCATCATCTTTGATCTATGTTAAAAGACCTTCTCTATCCATCCGGCCATTTTGAACTAGGTTCTTAGATGTGTTTTGTTTTATCAAACCGTTATGGAGAGAACTATAGTTAGTACCTACACAGTGAATATAGTAGGAGTAAGGAGAAGAGAAAAATCTAAAAATGATTGTGGTGTTTCTGTTATGGGTACCCACAAGGAAATGTAGCAGTACTGGACATAAGTAATCAGACCATCTGTCTAAAACTCAACTTTACTAAGTTGTAATGAGTTTTACTTTCTGGGTGCTGAACCCTCCATGGGAGAAGAAGGCATGTGTGATACAAGATGTTTTGTCTCTGGAATCCCCCTGCATTGCTCTGGTAACAGAACCTGGGCCCTTCTTTCAGGGAACCCTTTCTACCCATTTCCTCAAGGTGTGGTTTGAGGCATCCACCACAGTGTGCCTCCATCTCTGGGCCAGGTATGAGATTCCTGGAGGCAGAGCTGAGGGATGTGATTCCCTTCTTCTCTGGTGCTACAAGGTAGATGTGAGCCTGAAAACTGGCATCAGTGTGAGGCACAGAGGTGGAGAGGAGCAGATGTTTGCTTTTCATGGGTGTTTCCATACTGTTTTTCTCCCTGGGGGAAAGAGCCTGAAAAATGGTACATGAGATATTCCAAGCAAAACATTATTTTTAATGACTTAGAAAGGTTTTCAACATATCCTCAAATGAGAAAAAAAGAGAGCCCAAATGAGTTCTGGGATTTGGATCTTGTATAAAATGGCTCAGTGAATGTGTTTGTCACTTCCCAGCTTGGCCATGTTTTGCGTGTTTAAACAGAGAAAGCATTGTTCTGAATAAACTTAGAGCATATTATCTGTGATACTGAAACCATTTTAAGATTTCTTGTTTTGGTTTTTTCAAAAGCAGATGAATAACATAATTCTTTACACTTCACAGCAGCATCCATTCCTTCAGAATTAGGACTTATTTACAGTGCAATTTGCATGCACTATTTAGGATTACAAAGGGTAAACCAGTGGTTCCTTTGTCTCTTACTGTCTTTCATCTCAACAAGAAAAACTCACTATTTCAGACTCATTGGAAATAAGGCCAGTTTGGATTATGGAATAGTTTTAGAGAAATACATGTATTTTAATATTTATAGTTTTCACTAGGGTAATAAGACTTTGGCAAATCAGTCTGAAGCACTTCCTAAAATTAATTAAAACATACAACTTGTAAGTTCATTATTGATGTTTCAGTACATCGAAGTGGTTCACATTTCATAAGTAGACTAGGTGCTGATGTAAGAGTGTTATATCCAGTATCTATTGTTAATCCTCACAATAGCCATATGAGGAGCCATTGACTCCATTTTATAGATGAATACACTGAGATTTAGGAAAGTAGGGTGTCTAAAGTCCAACAGCAGTAAACTCGCTTGCAGCTGTACTGGACTTCCCAAGTCCATGTTCTTAACCATTGCTCTACTCTGCCTCTGAGCTCTAGATTGCCGTAACAGTTTTTATCAATAGGTGAATCTTATTTGTCATTTTCTTTTCATTCTTTTCTTTTGTTGCCATCATTTATTAGGCATTTATTATACAGCAGGGAATGTACTAAGAACTCTAAGTATAATATCTGTTCTATCTCTAAATCTTCCCAACAACCTTGTCTGTAGGTTGTATTGTGTCTTGTTTAAAGACAAGGGAAACTCAGAAAGGGTAAGTAATTTCCCTATCATCACAGCTAGTAAGTGTCAGAGATAAGCTCTAGAACACAGAAGGGAGTTTCTGAGATGAAGCCAGAAAAGAAGGCAGGGAAGGATTTGCATGGGGGGGAGGAATGGGCTCAGAAGACCACTAGTTAGTGATGCCACCACCTGGAATGACTCCTGGAAGTGGCATGTCTGGTCTGGAAAGGGAGCCAGAAAGCTATGCCCTTAAATGATCTCCCTGGGGCCTGGTGCTGGTCAGGGTCCTTGTCTGGCCTTTACTGTGGCCTGCCAGGACCTCCTCGGGCAGAGTGGTTCAGCTTCTGACCAGCCACTGGTGCTGATAGTTATAGCAGACCATGGGTGTTCTCAGGGGTGGTGACCAAAGTTGCCTTGTTGCAAATTCAACAGCCAAACCCTGCCAGGTTGCTGGTAGAGGTAGAGCATATGGGATGCTCTTCAAATGTGCAGATGACCTATACTATTTGGCAATCAGTGTGCCCATGGCAGACAGGAATCTCCAAAGCTGTGAACAGTGGTGCTTTTTACCACAGGGAGACCAACTGAGGGCTGAGGGTGGAATTCAGGGAGTATCTGGTAGTCCACAGATGGAGCCTGGGTGGTTCATTCACTTATTTAACATTTTTTAGCACTTTGCCTCTTCCAGGCCAGTGTTCTGAGCACTGGGGTTTCAACAGTGTACAAGACAGTCTTTAACAGAAGCAGCTAACATTCTAGTGGAGGAGACAAGACAAAACATGCACACAGACATACATATATCTCATCCAGAGGGAATACATGCCGTGAAGAACAGTAAAGTTGAGTAAGAGAGATCCAGAGAGAAGGAGGGGATGGGGATGCTATTTTATATAAGTGGTCAGGGAAGGCCTCCTGTGGATGGTGACATTTGAATGGAGATGACAGGAAGTGAAAGGTAGATATCTGTGGATACCAGGGGAGAGTATTGTAGGCAAAAGAAACAGCAGGTGCAAAGCCTTTGGGGCAGGAGAGGGCTTGGCACAGTCACGGAGCAGCAAGACCAACAGGGGCTAAATCCAGTGCAGGAAGGGTGCCCTGGGCAAGTCAAAGTGGTAGACCCTGTGGGCTAAGGGGAGGACTCTGGAGTGTACTCGGAGTGACATGGAAAGTCCTTGAGAAAACAGGAACAGGAGACCACCATGATATGATGCACATCTTTAAAGGAGCTCTCCAGCTGCCATGGGGGGCAGGAGTGCTAAGGCAGAAGAAGGGAGGCTGATTGGACAATGGTCTCTGGAGAAATCTGACATGGGCCAGGATGCAGTGGAGATGCTGAGAGGTGGTTAAATTTTGAAGGAATTAATGACAGGATTTGCCAGTGGGCTGCACGAGGGAATGAAAGAGAGGAGTCAACAACTACTCGAGGTTTTGATTTGAGCAACTGGAAAACTTTGTTGTCCTTTGTTGAGACAGGGAAGAGATAAATTTGGGGGGACATCCCATGAGTTTGGTTTGGGTGGCATTCCAGAACTCAGAACTGAGGTGGCAGTGGTAGGGACTGGGCTGTAAGTTGCCCTTCCAAACCTAAGCAAAAGAGAGCTGGCTATGAGGTCAGGGGGAGGGGGAGGGTTGAAAGCAGGGGGTATCCCAGCACTGAGTGAGGTACAAACGGGTTCCAGAACAACAGGAAACAGATAAGACCGAGCGAGCAGGGGCTGGAAGGGGCAGTTGTCTTCCCAAGGACCCTGAATGGGAGCCTTTGGGAAGACAGAGAGCTATAGGGTGGGTGGGTACCAGGAATTTGGGAGAGAAGCTCAGAGGGTAGAGGCATTCAGCAAGGCCTCCAGAAAGAAGGGGAGCCTGACTGAACTTCTGTGGAGGGACCTGAGCTTGGGATACAGTGGTAGAGGGGGACGAAGAAGGAGAGGGTACAGATGCAGGATGGACAAGCAGAACTCAGAAGGATCTGGAAGGGTCATGACTTGACCAAAGACCAGTCTAAGAAGAGGAAGGGGAGGTATAGGGAACTGGGCTGGAAAATCAGGATAGGTCTGCCTTATGGAAAGCCCTTGAGCTTGAAGCTGGCTAGAGTTTGATGCAGGAGCATAGGATTAATTCAAGAACAGAACCTGCAGCACAGTAGGGTATGGTTTGAGTCCTGAACACTTTCATGTTGCTTCCTTTCTTGATCTGAAAGTAAAAGTGACTTGGTCTTCACCTTCATTTTTCTCTCCCACCTATTTGTTATTCTAACCATTAAACTTGCACATCTGGTCCTAAGCAAGAGGAAGCCTCACTAGCAGTCTATCTACCACACAAGTAGGTCAATTTTCTGGAGAAACAGTTTCAACAGCAACCAACAATAGAATTGACTCAAGTTCTTTACTATAATATAGTGAAGTCTCTTGAAGTCATCACTGTAATGACTGGACCACTCAGAAGTTGGATCTACATGAATCCCAGGAGACATGTACTTTTAATAGGTAATCTTTCCCAGGCAGAGGAGGCATTTACAATTCATAGAAAAGTAATAGTATATGTAGTGACACAATAGTGTATGATGATACACTATCTATATTGATTTAATTACAAACATCATGATGTTTATAATATATCCATGCTAATATTTATAGTTCATTTAAGTGACATATTTACATGTATACACTCTTTAAACAATACTATCAGGTTAGCTCTATAACACTGAGTTTATACTTTATTGTATGATGCCAGCAGTTAGGAACTGTTCAATTCAGTACTAGGTCCTTTATCAGGCTGCATGAAACAAATGACCTTATACCATTGAACTTTGCATCTGTTGACAGAATATAATTGAGCAACAGATCTATTCTCTGTTTTTGGTATTATTCTTTTTTCATGATACTTTTTAAATTTATGTTTTAAAAATAAATTTCCCATGAAAAATACTGTGATCAAAATACTTTGATTTACAGATTATGGATGATTGGCCAGGGTATGATTTGAATTTATTCACATACCCACAGCACTATTACGGAGATTTGGAATATGTCCTCATACCTCATGGCATCATTGTGAACAGGTGAGTGTTATTTCCTGCCTCGGTCTTGGTTCTGTGCTGCTGGCCCTCTTGTGTGAATCATGATCCTGACTCTCTTTTATTTAGGAGTAGGACAGAGAAATTGGAATAAAATGAATCTGTGCTTAATTGACTACCTGGGCATTTGTTCAGGGAAAATGGTAGGAAGGATATATACACCTATGTAAGGTGTCACATTGTAAATAACAGCCTCAAAATAACAATGTCCTGTAGGTACTGATCAGAATAGGTATTGGGAAAGCATTGCTCCTCACCCAAGAACCTTTGTCCCACATTTTCCACAGATTCTTGAGTTAACCAGGGAGAGTTCACAGGTGACCTTTGCTTTCATAGCACACACCCCTCACGCCTTAGCTTTTCCAGCAACTTGCATTTATCTCGTATTAAGTAGTCACTTGGCCAGTCTGAGCACAATTATGTTTTCCAGTCAATGGTCATGTTTTGGGAATAGGAATATTTGCAGCCTAAAAAATAGCTGCACAGAACTATTTCTAGAATACTATTTCTAGTTCTTTCTGACTTGTCTACATAGGTATCCTCTGGCTGCTTCCTAGCCAATTGGCTTTTCAAAAGCCAACATTTTCTCTCCTGTTTTAAGCCCCTAAGTCAACCCCATTTGTTTCTTGGCCTTCTGAGAGCCTCCTCCAGGTCAGCTCACCAGAAGCATCAGGATTTAAAGGTCATACCCTTTCACAAAATTACCTCAGTGCCCAGACTGTTACCTTTCCATATACCTCTAATTTCTTATACAAATACCTAAGCCTTCACATTTATTTGAAAAGCAAGCTTTGTGGATTTCACAGTACTCCCAGGAATCACAGAGATTCTTCAGAGACCCAGAAATTGGGGTGGGGGAGACACTGGAGAGTAGGAACAGATTCAGACTTTAGACTTTCCACCCTGCCCTTTTCCTTGAACTATAGTACTTCTGCCTTTGTTCCTTTTTAATCTATTATATTCTTCTGATTTAAAATTTAACTTTAAGAAATAGATTCTCAGCCAAAAGGAAAGTTTGAAAAATCCTAGATGGTCATTACTCCCAGGATATTATCTTTCCAGTAATTCCTGTCTGTAAGCAAAAGGAAATATTCTTTCACTCAAATTCTAAGATTTTCCATTAGAAAAGACTTGCATATTGCGTGTTCTCTCAAACTAGAGTGTATTACTAAAATAAGATCTAGTTTGGGATTTCCCATGGCCTAAGACAGCTTTCCATGGAATATAAGACAGTCAGAGGGGAAAAAAGTTCTGTGATTAAATAAACTTGGGAAGTTTTGCATCTCTCAAATTGCTAAATCTCCCTATTGGCAATTCACATTAAAGAGACGGAGAAATGCCAGCAAAAATCAAAAAAAGAAAAAAGTAAAGAAACCTGCTTGACTTTAACAATTAAACCAACTTTTGTTGTATGGCGGTGGTTTTTGTTCTCAGTTCACCTCTAAATAACTCTTAGAGGCATTTTCCCTTAACATTAGTTTGGGAAGGCCCTAGTTTAACCAAAATCCTGCTTTTCTCATGGGAGTTTATGACTTAATTGTATCCTAATCTAGTACCTGATTGTATCCAAAATCAGTTACCTGGACAGGAGACTTACCCAACAAACTTGTGAAAATTCGTATTCTTAAGCTATATATCCAGAAATTCTGATTCAAAAGTCCTGGGTGAGGCCCAGGAATGCCCATCCCCACCTTTAAAATGAATTTATTATGACATAATTTACATACTACAAGATCATAAATCCCACCCATTGTAGGTAAGCTATTTTTAATAAAATTTTATGTTTGGGCAACCACCACCATTGTTTCATAATATTTCTCTTACCCCAAAAAGCTTTTTTGCTGTCAAGCCCTGCTCCTAGCCCCAGCAGCAGGCAACTTGGGGTCTGTGGAGAGTTTACTGTATAGCCCTTCCCCATGACTCTACCCTCCCAGAACTCCCTATCAGATCCCTGACCAGTCTGCCAGTTAGCTGCTCAAACAGGACTGCAGCTGGAGGATAAAGGAGCCATTGGCAGTGTCCCACCTGACTGAATTACCTGGTGAGACAACAGAGCTTAGGGGTGGGGAGGGGGTGGGCCTGGGAAGAATGCCACAGCCTCATGCTGTTTCCCCCCCAGCATTCAGTGTCCTCATAAATGAACGGTTCTCAGTTTGTGGTATGCCTTTGGCTGATTTCCAGAGACCTGAAATGGTTGTTTTTGACAGTCTCATTCAGCTTTATAGTTGCTTTTTGTGGAGTGGATGTGTTGACCTTCTCACTTCATCATGCTGGAAACATGGATATTTATAGAATATCAGGAGTGAAGATGTATACTTTTTGATGATCATACCTTAGCTCCTGCCTCCATTCAAGGTTTTAAGTTGCATGGGCACATGGGCCATGGACTTAATAGACATGAAACAATTAGAAAAAATACAAAGACACTTCCAAATTAGGTACTGGCTGCCAGCTCCAGGGTGCATCAGGGATAACTGTGGGAAGTATCATTCACATTGTGTTCCATGGAACTGGTGCCCACTGGAATTGTACTCTGGGGCACCTTTCACATAGGTAAAGTGTTATCTTTGTCAAATAAAAGGCAAATATTAATTCTTTTTTTTATTTTTTATTTTTAAATTTCCTTTTATTTTTATTTTGGTATCATTAATCTACAATTACATGAGGAACATTATGTTTACTAGACTCCCCCCATCACCAAGTCCTCCCGACATCCCCCTTTACAGTCACTGTCCATCAGTGTAGTAAGATGCTATAGAATCACTACTTGTCTTCTCTGTGTTGTACAGCTCTCCCTGTGCCCCACTCTCTACATTATGTCTGCTAATAGCAATGCACCCCCTTTTTTTCCCCCCATTCCTCCCTTTCCACCCATCCTCCCCAGTCCCTTTCCCTTTGGTAACTGTTAGTCCTTTCTTGGGTTCTGTGAGTCTTGCTGCTGTTTGTTCCTCCAGTTTTTTTCTTTGTTCTTATACTCCACAGATGAATGAAATCATTTGATACGTGTCTTTCTCCACCTGGCTTATTTCACTGAGCATAATACCATCCATGTTGTTGTAAATGGTAGGATTTGTTTTCTTCTTGTGGCTGAATAATATTCCATTGTGTATATCCATTCATCTACTGATGGACACTTAGGTTGCTTCCGTATTTTGGCTATTGTAAATAGTGCTGCCATAAACATAGGGGTGCATATGTCTTTTTCACACTGGGCTGCTGCATTCTTAGGGTAAATTCCTAAAAGTGGAATTCCTGGGTCAAATGGTAATTCTATTTTTGGTTTTTTTGAGGAACCTCCATACTGCTTTCCACAATGGTTGAACTAATTTACATTCCCACCAACAGTGTAGGAGGGGTCCCCTTTCTCCACATCCTCGTCAACATTTGTTGTTTGTCTTTTGGATGGTGGCGATCCTTACTGGTGTGAGGTGATACCTCATTGTGGTTTTAATTTGCATTTCTCTGATGATTAATGATATGGAGCATCTTTTCATGTGTCTGTTGGCCTTCTGAATTTCTTCTTTGGAGAACTGTCTGTTCAGATCCTGTGCCTATTTTTTAATTGGATTATTTGCTTTTTGTTTTGTTGAGGTGCATGAGCTCTTTATATATTTTGGATGTCAACCCTTTATCAGATCTGTCATTTATGAATATATTCTGCCATACTGTAGGATGTCTTTTTGTTCTACTGATGGCATCCTTTGCTGTACAGAAGCTTTTCAGCTTGATATAGTTCCACTTGTTCATTTTTGCTTTTGTTTCCCTTGCCCGGGGAGATACGTTCATGAAGAATTTGCTCAAATGTTAATTCTTTTGATAGTCACTCTGGGCTTGACTTTTCCTCCAGTCTCCTCTTACATTGTAAGGTGTGTGAGTCATTCTCCATTCCCTTTTCTCTGCTGTAAAATGAGCATAATATTACCAGCTACCGTCGTAGCATTGCTAAGGTTAGCAGTACTGGTAAAATAATAGCATTCATGATCTTTGACATTATATTTTACCCCTTAAGCATTTTCGTGACAGAGCAACAAAAATGTACTATTGATGATGTGGTTATCAGAAATCTATGTTTTGAACACCATTTCTTTGTTCTGCGTTAACAAAGCTACTTCGGTAGTAGGTTCCCAAGCTCTTCACCACAGTTCCCTGCATAATCTAGTATGTATTTTTGGAAAGGAACAAAAATACTCAGAAGTGGTTATGCTTTAATATGTCTTATAATCCCTTCTTTCAGAATTGAGCGTCTGGCTAAGGACATTATGAAAGAGAAAGGACACTGTGACATTATGGTCCTGTGTGTGCTGAAAGGAGGTTACAAGTTCTGCATGGATATTGTAGCACACCTGAAGAACACTGGTCAAAATTCAGATAGATTTGTCTCTATAAAGGTAGATTTCATCAGAGTAAAAAGTTACAGGGTAAGTTATTACTTATTCTATTTACATTACATGATATTTAGAATAAAGAATGTTATAGAATAAAAGAACTAATAATGTTATGATAATGAAGAGTGTAATTTTAAAAAATTTATAAGCAACCTGGAGTTCAAATAGTGTTCTTTGGAGGGGAAAAAACCCTTCTACCTATGTCTACATATATGGAAAGATGCTTCAGGAATGATTCATGCTTTCTTTCTTGATTACAAAGCTGAGTGGCTATTTCCTGGTGCCTAGCCTCACAAGTGACTTTGTGAAGAATGCGTGTTAGGGAAGTGCAGGGAGCGCTGATGCGTGTCTGCTCTAAATGTCACTGTCGACCTGGGAGACCTGTGGCCAGCCCAGAGCGGAGAGCATTAGTACTTAGGTGGCTGCAGTCATGACCTAGAGGTAGAGAAGGGACACTTGTAGGGACAGTGAGTAACCAAGTGCAGTGGGGCAGGACCAGGGAACCTTCAACAGAAGGCCTCTACACCAGTCCATGCTGGCCTCTCTTGGCCACCACTGCAGAGAAGGGAGGGAAACTATTCTCCAAAGACCTTATCTTCTCAGTTTCTTCTCTTTTCTCTATGATGTTTACCTTGAGTGATACTTTTTGATTCAGTGTATAGTAAATCATTAAAATTAGTTTACTACTAGGTAAGGAACTGTAGGAGTCAAAAATCCTGCAAGTATCTCATTAATTGAACTAACTTGATACAGTGTAATTCACTCTTTGAATTGGTTGTGTATTGCTGTGCAACAAAATTAACACAGACTTCCTGGCTCAAACCAACACATATTTATCATGTTACAGTTTCTCTAGGTCAGAAGTCTAGCCATGAGTTCTCTGCTCTGAGTCTTCCCAAGCTGAAACCAAGGTGTCAGCCAAGGCCGGGATGTCATCTGAGGTTTGCAGATGACTGAACTTTTCCAAGATTACTGGTTGTTGGCAGAATCCCGCCCTTGTTTCCCTGATGCCTCTGGGCTGGAGAAGCTCTCAGTTTTTCCTGGCCCTCAGGTCTTTGCCTCATGGTCTCCTTCACAGTTCACAACACAGCAAGAGAACCCCTCCAACCTCTCCATTCAGTGAGGGCCCAGCCCCTTTATTAAGGGCTCACCTGATTAGGTGAGGCTCACCCAGGATAAGGTCCCTTTTGATGAGCTCGAAGTCAACTGACTAGTCACCTAATCATGGGAGTAAATTACCATGATATTTACAGATCTCACTCATACTCAAGTAGAGCAGATTATAAGGGCGTACAGGGGACAGGAATGAGGGAAGTGGCATTTTAGAATTCTGCCTATCACTCTCTTTCTGTGACTCCATTACCTGAGGTGTAGAGCAGCTGACAAACTAGTGCTCATTTCTCAAAATACTCTCTATTTTTCTGATGATCTCTCAGGCCAGGATGGAGCTGATTTTTTTGCAGACACCTTACCCTTAATTTATTGATCTCATATCCTCTTGAAAATATTCTCTCTCTTAAGAAGCTGTGCTTCCTTCTTATAAAATTTTTTACTCATTTACTTGGTTCTGATCCTCATTGTATTTTTCTTGGGCAAACAGTTTTTACAAAACTTTTGAAAATCTTTTTCAAATTAAAGTCAGGTTTATTGAAGTATAATTTACATGCCATAGAATTCATCCCTTTTAGTTTGCAGTTGGATGAGTTTTGACAACTGAGTACAGTCTCGTCAATCCCCACAATCAAGGAATAGAAAGTTCCTGACCACAGAAAATGTCCTTATCTCCCTATGTCGTCAATCCTTTCCCCAGCCCTCAGGCCCTGGCAACCTGCGATATGTTTTCTATCCCTACAGTTTTGCCCCTTACAGACAGACTGTCATGTAGTGTAATTATATACCAGTAACTTTAGTAAATCTGTATACTTTAGCATAATTCATTTGTGATTCATCCATATTGTTATGCATAACTAGTTCATTTCTTCTGATGTCAAGTATGATTTTATTATATGGATTTATCATAGTTTTTAAATCTGTTCATTAGCTGAAGGTACTTGGTTTCCTTTCTGTGGTGATTATGAATATAGCTACTATAAATATTCACATCCAGGTTTTTGTGTGTACTTATGTCTTCATTTCTCTTGAGTAAATTTCTCTTGAGATTTCTAGGTCATATGGGGAGTATATATAAAAAATTGCCAAGCCATTTTCCAAAGTGATTAAATAATTTTGCCTTTGTGGCTGCAATATATGAGACCTGCCGTTGCTCCACATACTCAACGTCACTTGATATTGTTCGTTTTTCTTTATTTCTTTATTTTACCATTCAACTAGATGATAATCTTCATTATGGTTTTAATTTGCATTTTCCTAATGAATAATGATGTTGAGCACACTTTCACTTGCCTCTTTGCTATTCACATAGCTTCTTTGGTGAAGTGCCTGTTGAAATACCTTGCTCATTTTTAAAATTGGGTTGTTCGTTTTCTTGGTATTGAGTTTTGGGAGTTCTTTATATCTTTTGGCCACAAATCATTTATTAGATGTGTGTTTTGAATATATTTTTCAGTCAGTGGGTTGTTTCGCATTTTTGTAACCATGCTTTTTTTCAAAGTATAATTTAAACATTTTTATAAACTCCAATTTATCAGTTTTTTCCTTTGTGGATTATGTTTTTTGTGTATCTAAGAAGCTATTGCCTAATTCGAAGTCACAAAGATTTTCCCCTCTGTTTTGAGAAGTTTCATAGTTTTAGATTTAAATCTAGGTCTATGATCCATGTTGTGTTAATTTATTAATATAGTGTCTTTTTTTTTGCAAGTGAATATCCTCTTATATCAATCATTTGATGAAAAGACTGTCCTTTTCTATTAAATGGTCTTTGATCTTTCATTGAATATCAATTAACTATATATGTGTGGGTCTATTTCTGAACCCTCTACCCCCTTCTGTTCATCTATGTGCTTATCCTTATGTCAATACCAAACTGTTTGATTACCATAGCTGAATAATAAGTCTGCAATCAGGCTGTACCTGTCCCCAGCTTTATTCGTTTTTTTTGCCATTTTAGCTATTCTAGTTCTTTGTCTTTCTATATAAATTTTAAAATCATGTTTTTGATTTCTGCAAAATAACCTGTTAGAATTTTTACTGGGATTGCTTTGAATCAATAAATCAATTTGGGGAGAATTAACCATCTTAACACTACTTAGTCTTCCAATCCATGAACAGGGTATATTTCCAATTTACATAGTCTTGTTTAATATCAGGGTTTTTTAGTTTTCAAGAGTCTAATCTTAAACTTATTTGTTTAGATTTACACCTAAATATTTAATATTTTTGGTCCTATTATATTTGGTAAGTTTTTTGAACTTCAACTTCAAATTGTTTATTGCTTGTATATAGAAATACTCTTGATTGTGTATACTGACTATTATGACTTTTCAAAACTCACTCTTTTATTAGTTTTAGTAGAGTTTTGTAGATCTTTAGATTTTCTATGAAGGTTTAATTTCTTCTGTGAATAGAGATTTTACTTCTTCCTTTCTTAAACTTTTAATTTATTTTTTATTGATTTATTATACTGGCTAGGACTTCATGTACAATTCTGAATAGGAATGGTGAAGGAAAATGTTCTTGCCTTTGTTCCCAGTAAGTATGATACTAACTGTTGCATCCGTAAATTTTGATGTACTGTTTCATTTTCATTCAACTTGAACTATTTTTTAATTTCCTTTGTGACTTCCTCTTTTATTCATGGATCATTTCTTGTTTAATATCCAAATATTGGGGGATTTTCCAGAGATACTTCTGTATGATTTCTAGTTTAACTCTGTGGCAGAAACTACAGTTTGTTTAATTTCAATTCTTTTAAATTTCTTGAGGCTTGTTTTAGGGCCCAGAGCCTGGTCAGTCTTGCTTAAACAATACCTCCATCTCTCATTATCCATTTCTCTAAACTTCTCTTTTTCTTTTATTATCAATGTTTTAACCTAGAGACACACATTCTATGACTATCTGCCCTATTAACTCTTGTTTATGGAATATTAGTTCAGAACTAACATTTGCATTTCGAAAACTCCGGTGACATTGTGATCATCATTGCTGCATTTAGATAAATTCAAATTAATATATTTTCTTCCTGGGGATAGGGATGTAGGGCCACCTACCCAGGACTCTGATGAAGGAAGAAGTAGAATTGACATCTTCATAAATCAGTACTAATAGTAGACTGTAGATCTTCTCCACCTTCACCCATTCTCACACACTGTATATGTTACTTTTGTCCCACACTTAAATGCTGTAGGAGCCAAGGATAATTGTGGTGTCTCTCCTCTCCCCTAACTAAATGTTCTTCCTCTTGTCTATCACCAAGGTAACACATCATCTCCTGAGAGACTGCCTCATGTAAAAGCATACCTGCTCCCTCAGAACAAGCTTGCCCTCTAGTTAAATATCCTCAGAAATGAATGGAAAACATATTCATAGACTGGGGTATGACATGAACAGTTCTCTGCTCATAGAATACAAGCTGCCCTCATCCAGAAATGAATGAATTGTTGTCAGGTTGGACTTGAACTAACCAACCCTTTATATACTTGAGCTCTTTCAAAATTCCTGAGGGCAGAGACCTATTAAAAAAACAAACAAACAAACACCAAACAAACACCACCAAATAAAGAAAAGACTAGCTCATTTTCCTCTGAGGGTACTTGGTGCTTCTGCATACTTCCAGATCTATTCATAGGGAGCAGACATCTCAAAAACATCTCTGCAGAAACAATGGCCATTAAAGTGTTCCTTCAGAAATTTCTGGAGGCCAATCAGGACTCTGTACTGTTGTGGGTTCTGATCAGAAACATTGGGTAGTTTTACTCCTTCCTACCCTCCACTCTGTGATTCTTTTTGAATTTCTTTTAAGAAAAAAGTTGAAAGTTAAGTTTACTTAGGGGTAATGTTTCTCCTTGTCATAGACATCATTATTCCTAAGTCCCTTTAGGAGCTCTTTTCTGAGGAACAGGCTGTGTTGTGTTGTG